TAGGTGTAAGCCTAATAAAAATAGATTAGCAGACTCCGCCCTAGTCGTTTCTGAGGGTTATCCTTGCGGAGCGCGAGGGCTGGAACAGTCGGTCACACGCTGGGCAGATGAAACTGCCCCAGAGAGGCACCATCCGCAGGGCTCTCCCTCCCTGGAGGCGCCTGGGTCTTGGCCTCTGCTGCCGATGTCTTCCTTAAACCTGGCCTTCCCAGTCCGGACACAGACGGGCTCCTTTAGAAAAGCACCAGGAATGAAAGTCGAAGCTGTGCTTTGCGGCGGGAGCCTAGGCGTTGAGCTGGCGCTCTCCGGAGAGGCACCCCGGAGACCAACTTTGCTAGAAAGCGCGCCCTGTGCCCGAGCCCCTGGCAGCCCCGTCCGCACCCGAGGAAGGCTGCGCCGGCCTCCCGGCCGCAGAGTCCCGCCGCGCCCAGCACGTGCCGGAGCTAGCCCGCCGCTGCCGGCTCCGCCCCCGGGACCTCGCACGAGGCTGGCGGGTCGCCCGCGGCCTGGAGTGGGCTCTGGGTCTTGTTCCTGCGGTGGCCGAGGACCTCACCCGGAAAAGCCGAACCCACACAGGACCCAGGCTCACAGGAGGGTCTGCCCCTAGGCTTGCCCACCCCAGCTGTGAGCGCGCAGCTAACCCTCCTGACCCGGCCTTCGCCTCCACAGGCAGCTTCCCCGTCCCGGTGCCCCGGTGCCCTGCAAGCTGGTAGCTGAAAGGGCGCCCGTGGCGGCCTCCGGCGGAATGAAGCTGAGCGAGGGGCGCAGGCCCCGGGAGAGAGCCATTGAGCCCAGCACCCTTCCCTGCGCCGTGCAAGAGAAAACCAAGCGAGGCCGGCCTCGGGCAGGCTGAGCGTCGGACCTGGCGCACCTCAGGAGGAAGCTGGGCTCTGGGGTGAGATGGCTGGAGGCATCGCGCGGCCCTCAGGCCTTCCAGCCCGAGGGAGACTCCCGCGGTATCCTCGCGACGCGCCTCTTCCCGCTCTCCTGCTTAAAGAGAGCCCCGCCCGCCGAGGGGTCCCTTTCAGTCACACTGGCTGTCACAGTGCTGGGGTGGGATGAGCGACGGCGTGGGAAGTGGGGAATCCCTCCCTAATGCGTCCTCTGGGAAACCCTTTGGCCTCTCCCGCTGGGACAATGTCCGAGGCCTTGGAATCAGCCGGTATCTGAGCTGCTCAGCCCCAGAACGCCGCGAACTCCCTGCTCTGGGGTCACAACTAGTGTCTTTCCCTGCCCTGCGGAAGTCGCCCTGAGCGGCGTCGTGAGTCCAAAAATCCATTTTAGAAAAACCCGCCGAAGGCATCACCGCGGGGGCCACCTCTTGGAGCGCTCACCAAGGCCCCAGCGGTCGGCGTAGAGCGGCTTATCGGGCCAGACAACAGGGCCAGGCTCTCTTCCCATCACCCCTGCCACGCAACGACTCTTCCTCCGTAGCAAAAGAGCCCAGGTGGGGGTGAAAGGGTTTCCGCGGCCCGCGGAGTGGCTGGCGGTCCTGCCCTAACACCAGGTAGCCAGCCGAGCGACGGACTGACTGCCCGTGGCTCCCGCACCACGTAGTGCTCGGCCCGTGCCTCCAGGGGGCGCTGCGGCTCTTCTCGCTGGCGGCTGAGCTCCCGCCGCGGCTGCGCTTTCCCAGCCCGTCCGCGTTGTAGAGCGCCGACTCGAACATACTTTTTTAAAAGATAAAATTCTTAGTTTTTAGACCCCCCTATCTCCACACCCACAGTTCTGAGCTCAGAGCCCGCTATCCTCCTCCAGGTTTTCGCGGGCCTCCTCACGCGCCCAGAGGATAGCTGGGCACCTAACTCCTCCGCGCTCTGGCGAAAAGCGGCCAGCAGTGCGGGAAGTTCAAATGCAAAAGGTCCCCGCCCTGCAGAGGCAGGAAAGGCTTGGAGAAAGGGAGGGGAGTCCTCAGAGGTAATGGCAGCTGGGATCCCTGGGGAAAGGATGAGGTTTCCATAATTTGTATCTTAACGCGTAACCGATTTTAGGATGTCCGCAGCGCGCGGCCAGAGTGTGAACGCTCAGAGTCAACTCCAGGGAAGTCTGTGCCTGACACCTGCTCACTGCTTAACAGGCAGAGCCTCCTTGGGTGGGCCAGGGGGAAGGGGCCTACGCTCCCGGCCCCCCTCCTCCTCCAACTCCTCCGCGTTTCCTCTCGCCGGCCTTCATCCGGTCCTCCAGGGGCGTAAACTTTTCGGCAGTTCGGGTTTGGGCAGCAACCGCTCGCGCGCTCCTCGTCAGTCTGTTAGCCATTTCCCTGGAAGCGTCTTTGGTGTCGAAAGCACAGAGCCGCAAGGGCAGCAGAAGACCGAATCGGCGGAAATGTCAGAGTGAACTGGCCGCGCAGCTCCGGGAGGGCGCAGGGGGAGTGGGACGGCTGCGCAGAGACTCAGCTCCCCCGGCGCAACTGGGCCGCTGTGGGTTCCGGGACTTTCCTCTCCTCACACCCGGACGCCACAACTCCCTGGGGCCCGGTGGCCAATCTTCCGTGCCAGGAGTTGTCGCCCGGGGAGTCCGGTAAATGGGGCTGATTCTGGGTGGGCCCACGCAATGCGTACGCCCTAGACGCCGGCGTGGGCCAAGGGGCTTGCGGGAGCCGAGCGTGGAGAAACTCCAGGGCATGCCGCGGGTGGGCGCGGAGGTTACTCACAGGAGCCCTGCACTGCGGCACATGGCTCAGCCTTGGGTCTGCCCTCGTCGTGGGGCGCGCACCTGCCGGTTGAGTTGGTCGGGCCTGGAGGCTGCAGAGGCGCTGCGGGGCCACGCGGCTTTCCCCAAAGACCGGAACTCGCCGACTCCTCCGTACCTTTCAAGCGACCGCAGCGCTTGGCCTGGCGTGGCCCAGACTCCGTTGTGGAACGTCGGAGGCTCGGGTGGGCGAGGTAAATGTACTCATGGAAAAACCTCGGCTCAGGAGGTTTGCAGAAAGAGGGCGCAGCTCATGGGTGGTTGTAAATTCTGTCTACTTCGCGGGAAAAGCAGGCGGTTCCACACACAACATACACGCAGACACACACACGCGGTGGGTAGGTGTGAAGCCCGCCGCTGGGGAATTGCCTACAGTTTGGTGAAAGGAAATACAAAGCGCAGGAACGCTCTTCAGGTCACCACCCCTGGAGTGTGTGTCCTGGGGGTCTGAAAGAAGAGAAAGTTCCCTCCAAATCTTCCAAATTGAGAAAAGCTGCGGAAAGAATGAGGCGGTTAGAGAGAGGGGACCGCAGGCATCCCGGTAGCTGGAGCTCAGGACTGAGTACTAAAATGAAAGCACCCCTATAGAAGCCACCAGGGAAAACGTTTTTTAAAAATCCTGAACTCTTAGGCATTTTACTACTTCCATGGTGTTTCTCAAATCCACTTTGAAGCGATTAAATACTGAAGGATATTAAACACCCAGGTCTGCCTTCCAAGCTCATTTTTTAACGTTTGCGAATTTGAAATTGGAAAGAGGAAAAGATCTGATATCCCTGAATTATGTTTTACCCCAAAGGAACGAAAAATTCTATCCACCTGGGCGTAAGTAAAATAGAAAGAATTTATCTTAATAAACTAATATCTTGTCGCTTCTGCCTGGCTCCCCAATCACTGGTTCACCTTTGACAGCGGTTCGTCTTCTGCTTATATTTGTCCACTTCCCGCACGGTAGTGATTATTTTAATTGTCTTTTGAGGCGACACATCCCAAACCAACGTTTGCGGAACCTTTGAATCGTACAGCCTATTGGCTGAAAGATCTGTGCCCCCAAAATGAGGACTTGCCAGGGGCTAAGGCAGATCCTCTCCAGCGAACTCGTCTGGGACGAAGGGCATTTTGCTCAATGCTGCTGAGGCAGATCTCATCTGGAAAGAAGCTGTTTAAACTGAGTGTGTGTCATTCCCTTTCTGTCACTCGGTCATCCTGGTCCCAGGGTAGTTGACAGGCGTTCTGCAATTACTCTCACACAGGACCAAGTCTTTATAAGAACCTGAAAAATGTATCACTACACTTTAAATTCGATTGAGTTTCCTGGCGACTGAACAATCAACTCTATATTTATGGGGGTGGGGATGGTAATGAAGATGTACGTGTTTTTGAGAAGCTAAAATAGTATTTTCCTAATTTTTAAAATGATTGTTCTTCACCCAATTCCAGATGGATTCTTTATTTGCCAATGGGTCGCAGAAGCCCACCTCTTTAACCAAGTCTGTTAACTGCTTATAAAATGTACATTAGCTGATTAAAGCTTAAATATTGGAAGATATTTCTCCTGGGACATTTCATATATGTCTTTGCAGTAATCACGAAATTAGCCAATTGTCACCTCTAAAACCAAACTTCGTTTTGAAAACAGATGAAAGCAAACTGCACGTATAGTAAAAATTGACCAAAATTATGTACAACACTGGGCTTTAAATTGGGGGAAGGGATAGATGATAAAGAATACAGTCTAGAACTGATTGATTTTTACCCTACGAAGATGGTTATGTTAAACGTGTTAAGATGCGGAAATTAACTCGGTGAGAGATCCAAGTAAAACTACGAAATGCCCTTTAGTTTCTCTGAGGGTTTTCGGAAGGCAGAAGACCAGTTGTTCAGTTTAAGGAAAAGTGGCACCGAGAAGGAAAGGGGTGAGCGTTGTGTTTGTGTGTGAGTTTTGAACTGAGTCACCTTCGGGTCTGTCTCTCACTGGGAAACCATTAGCAAACCTGTGCCTTTAAGACTCAGTTGCTATCCAAACACAAGTAAACAGAGTGGACCATTAGCGGGCGCCGGGCGCGGAGGCGGAGCCAGGGAGCACAGGGCCCCGCGCTGCGGCGGGACGCCCGCCCGAAGGGGAGGCGGGGCCGCTACTAAAGCCCTAGACTCCGGGCCGCGAGCAGCCTAGGGAGGGACGCGGGCGGGGACTGAGCTCGGCGCGCTCGCTGTTGGAGGGTGATGGCCCTGCGAGGCGGCAGGCTTCCACCTTATCCGGAGTCGGCGAGAGGCTCGCGAAGGCACGGTGTTCCGGGCGAGCGCTGAGCGCCGGGTCCGAGCACCTCGGGTCTTTACGCATTGCATGTCCACAGACTCCTACGAAGGCGAGGATCTGCTCTCGTTTTTGCGGCTCGTGGTGCTGCAGATAATGTCCGCGGTTCCCGGGACTCCGCGCGGAAACAGAAGTTTGCACGGTGTGGACCCAGTGACCTTTCCAAGCTGTGCGCCTCACTGCCTGGACCGGGTCTGAGCGGCGCTGCCCAGGCGGACCTTTACGCGGGAGGTGAGTGTCCGCCCTGGGAAGGGACTGCAGCCTCCCTAAGAAAGGAAGGGTGCAGGGGATGCAGGGGGCGCTGATTCTCGGCCCCGCGTGCCACAAGTTCAGAAATTGTGAAAAGGAATCATATGGATGCAATCCCGGGGCATTGTTTCTCACTTTGTCGGATCCCAGGCACGCCTCTCCCAGCTAACACCCAACGACACACACTTTTATGTACTGTTTTTAGTTTTGTTTTGCAACATTTAATCTAAGCATTCACCAAGGCTTCTTATAAAAGCTGATGGAGGTACGCTGAGATAAAACTACATTGCCCCAGGGTGTTTCTGACCCTGCCATAGTATCCCCTGTCCACCCGTCCCAGGGCAGCCGCGGTCGCGCAGCGCGGACCAGCCAGGACACAGTGCCTGTCTAGCCCATGCGTTTCAAAAGGGAAGCAATAGTTCAATCCTAGGTAATTCTCCAACTTGTGTTGGCCTTTTGGTTTTCCTCCCCTCCGGTCCTGGAGGAGGGGGCAGAAGGCAAATCCTTCTGGGGTTTAAACGCTTGGATTCTCAATAAATTGTAACAGAAGAGGGAGTTGCGGTTGTAGAAAGGAGGAGGGAGAAAAAGGTGTTTGTGGAGGGAGCGCTGGATCTGTCTTTCTACCTGTTAGGAGAGAACAAAAGAGGGCTGGTGTTTCCCGGAGCGAAACGCCTCAGACAGCTACTTTCTCTGCTAAACAAACTGCAGTCTTGAGCAGAACAAGAAAATTACTCATGCAGGGGGAGCGAGGGAGCAGAGAGAAACAGAACCCTTATGCGGAAGGCATCTTAATTTAATTAACTCCTTGGGAAGGCAGAGCTGCACAGGGGCAGGAGCTTTGCGGCCGTTTTTCTCAGTTCACCTGATCCAATCTGGCCATTATTATTATTATCATTATTATTATTATTATTATTTTTAATGATCTCCTTAGATCCGCTTGGACTGTAGCTCTCTGAGTTATGTAAAATTCTATTGTGGCTTGGGTTGAAATTCAGTGAGCCAATCCATCTATCAGTCAGTTCTCTCAGACACCAATGCACAGGTTTTAGCAGATGACCCCTGACTGTATATTATTTTTAGATAATTTAGTGTAATAACACCATTACCTAAAAGAGAGACTCCTTATCAAATTACCACTTACCTTTTTTTCTCCAATACTTTGAAAGCTTCACTGAACTGAAATCAGTAATGTACACAGCTCACTTGTTGACAGCCAGTGAACAAAATTTTACAAAGCTTCTGTACATGCCTAGAAATTCCTGTGAAGAAGACGGATGAAAGAAAACTAGCCCCAGCTCCACTGAAATATTTATACGTTTTCATTGGTTTAAGTTTCTTTCTTTGCGAATTAAAAGTAACCAATGCTCCTAAATGGCATAGTGGAGAAATGACAACAAACGATGCGATAACTGTGACTGCCTGAAACGGAGTGAGGGAACGACATGCTCAGCTCCGGACAAAATGAAAGTACTTTAGATTTCTGCATTGACCTAAAATATTTTTTGACATATATTTCCAGCAACTCTGTGGGAGATTGGAAATCCAAATGCCCTAATTACTTACGGCAAAAATGTTTGGTGGATAACTAGGATTGTTCTGTTTGTGAAAGGGTTTCAGAAGTCACCCATGGTCTGCTCTTCTGTGAAGAAACCATTTGTCCTGCAAGTTAAAATGAACACATACTGTGAAATAGCACCTGTGCACCACCATGAAGCTGAATGACAATAGAGTCGTTAATTTTTGTATTATGAACCATTGGAAGAAAAGGGAAGGAAGATGGCACTCAACTTTCTGCTGGCAGAATTAACGTGTGATCCTTACGGCAGAGTTCCCTTCGTGTATTTGGAATCGAAACCACAAGTCGTGCGTGGTAGTCCTTCAGTTGACAACACACACACCCACACACGTACACACATAATACATGGTGGGAGATGTACTTGCCTCCTGTATTTATTTCTAAGAAATCTGGGAGTACACCCAAATAATAATTTTGGTTTCCTCTCTATGGGGGAGGCTACTTTTTAACACTAGGGGAAAAATAATATTTTGAATCTCTGGAAAGTTCTCATTATGCAAAAAGAAGGAAATTAAGGTGTAATTTATTATTTTAATGGAAGAGGAAATAATCAGATCGGTTACCAGGGATGTTAATAGAATCCTTTTTTTTTTCCAGTCTCTTTAGGAGAGGGCTTGAGGGGTTGCCACTGAACAAAAATGAATCGTGATTTGTGGTGGGAAAGTTTATTCCGAAAGGAGGTTTACAGTTTCGGTTGAATGGTCTGACTGAGACCCTCTGACTGTTACACACCTCTCATTAACTCCAGGCCTGAACTCCCAGACCGCATACCACCAGGCAGAAGCGGTTCATTAATAAATCCCTGTCTCTGAGCCTTTCCAAACAGAGGAGGAGGGAGAGAAGGTGTGGGCTTCAGGGAGGCAGCCAGGCTCTGCCTGGCCAGAGCGTCGTGTCATTAGCGCAGCCCCCTAAGCCTGCCCGCAGAGCCACTGGCAACACAACAACATGCTGGAGAAGAAAATTCAGGCACAGAAACGGGTGGGAGTGGGGGAGGGAAAGCTGAACAAACTCTCCCACCTTTCTGCTGGTCTCAACAACCAGGCATAAAGGGTGAGGGCTCAGACCTGCCGGCCTGCGCCTCTCCAGGGAGAGCTTGAAGTTATGAGTCTCCCACTTAGAGAGCCTCCCTGTCTCAGAGAGCGCAGCTCTGCCGAGCTGGCAGAACCGGGTGCTGTGAAGGGGCTGGCAGTGAGAGAAGGTAGGCCCACCCTGAATGCAGGTGAGGTGTCCCTGGGAACCTGGATCTGAAAGCAGATCTCCGTGCTGCCATTGGAGGCGCAGGGAGAGCAAAGCGCGTGTGCCTTGCTTAGGCCCAGGCCCGCAGACCCCGGCTCAGCGTCCAGGTGGCAGGAGCGCTGCAGTGCACGTCTCCAAGCGGACAAACCAGCTTCCTCCAGGCTGGCAGGACCTCACTGCTGTGGCCCCCTTGCTGCTCCTTCCATTTCCCTCCCGGGAAGCCTTCTGCCTGCTCTTCTTTTCTCCTGGGGCCTCCTCGGTGTGGGAGCCGCTCCCGGTACCAGGTCGGGAAGCCGCTCGAGCCTCCCGAGCCTCCCGAGGTCTTGGCGCTCAGTCTGGGAGAAGGGGTTCGGGCCTCACCGGACGTTCTGCTCCTCCGCCCACCCCCAACCTCTCCTTGGGAGCCTAACCATCTGGAAGGGATCTTAGTGGTGGGTGGGAGGGGACAGCCCCTGGGAAGAAGCAGGCAATTCCTGGTCGAACCGGGCCCCCGAGGTGTCACTTTTCTTTCCTGCGGCCCGTCACCGCTGATGAATGGGACTGAGGCAGAGGAAGGAAAAAGAAAACCTCTGAGGTCAGCGCGGGGCGAGGCGGGCCCCTCCGAGGGCCCGAGGGCCCAAGAGCAAGAGGCACCCGCCGCAGCTGCGCTCCCGCACCCGGGCCACCGGGTAAGCGCGGGGCGCACCATGAGCAGCTGCTGGGCCCTTGAACCTAAGATGGGACCCACAGACCATTGTTCCTAGGGGAGCTCCCAGGCGCACTGGCGACAGAAGATCAGCCAAGGGCCTGCAGGTGTTGGCGTCCAGGGTTGTCGGGGTTGGCTGAGCTCCGACAGAGTGGGGTGGGTGGGCTAGACTGGGTGCTGCCTCTGCTGGACCCTGCCCCCCTTTCTTACTCCCTGAACCTGACTTTTCCGCTGCACCCGGGAACCCGACCTTCCTGTGGGCACCCAGAAGGGCTGCCAGGGAGCCCAGTTCACTAGGGACCTTCTCCTGCACCGCCTGACACCCTGGCCTTGGCAGAGCTCAGTGCGGACCCGCTCGGCTGGCGCTAGGGTTCCCTCCCCACTCCTTTGGGGGCCCGGGAGGAAGGTGGGGAGGAGGTCTTACAAGGAAAGTATAGTAACCCGCGCAGGCGCCAAAGTTCAGACCGAGCTGGTTTGGATAACAATCACAACTCTCCCTCTCTCCCTTTTTAGGGTGCGTGCTGTTGTCTCTCTGTGTCTTCAACGGAGCCCCACACCCACCAGCCTCTGAGTTCTGGAAGAAAGGGGCGGCTCCCTCCGCCCCCCAGTACCCCGGGAAATGGGGAGCAAGGCCCTGCCCGCGCCCATCCCGCTCCACCCATCGCTGCAGCTCACCAATTACTCCTTCCTGCAGGCTGTGAACACCTTCCCCGCCGCAGTAGACCACCTGCAGGGCCTGTACGGTCTCAGCGCCGTGCAGACCATGCACATGAACCACTGGACGCTGGGGTACCCCAACGTACACGAGATCACCCGCTCCACCATCACCGAGATGGCGGCGGCGCAGGGCCTCATGGACGCTCGATTCCCCTTCCAGGCTCTGCCCTTTACCACTCACCTCTTTCACCCCAAGCAGGGAGCCATTGCCCACGTTCTCCCAGCCCTGCACAAGGACCGGCCTCGTTTTGACTTTGCCAACTTGGCCGTGGCTGCCACGCAAGAGGACCCCCCTAAGATGGGAGAGCTGACCAAGCTGAGCCCCGGGCTGGGTAGCCCCATCTCGGGCCTCAGTAAATTGACTCCGGACAGAAAGCCCTCCCGAGGGAGGTTGCCCTCTAAAACGAAAAAAGAGTTTATCTGCAAGTTTTGCGGCAGACACTTTACCAAATCCTACAACTTGCTCATTCACGAGAGGACCCACACGGACGAGAGGCCGTACACGTGTGACATCTGCCACAAGGCCTTCCGGAGGCAAGATCATCTGCGGGATCACAGGTGAGGTGGAGAAGAGGTTGCCTGGGGGAGGCGAGGCCAGTTTGTCGGGAATACCAAGGCCTCATAGACATTCCAAGTGTCACTAAAATCCCCTCTGAATAAGAATGTATCTCCAAAGGCCCACCCCCGCCAGCCACAGCTACCAGCCAATATTTACCATTTTTCCCTCACTGGGCGCTCCCTGCGTTCTTGGGCGGGAGGGCCTTTTTTCCTCATCCTTAGGCCGTTACAACCTGATGGGTTGGCCTCAGTTTCTTAGTTTCCCCACGGATGCCCTTAGGGTGGAGCAGGTAAAGCCTGGGGACCCCAAATCCCACGATGGCTGCCTTGAGACCATTTCTAGAAATATACTCGGGCCACCTCCACTGGGTTCCCTCCATTCTCTATTCCTTACCTCCACCTCCAGCTGTGCCCCAGCGCCTGACACCACGGCCTTCCTTTTCAGTTTATTTGCAGAGGTCTTAAGATCACAAAATTTAGACACAGTTCCCCTTACCTCACTCCCTACCCCCACTCGAGGACCTTAAACTCTGCATTAATAAATGGCAATTGAAGAACTGCTATAACATAAATGTTTCATCCGGTAAAAACTTCCCAGGAATGGGGGGTGGGGTACGTCTCTCCCGACTCCACTGGCAGTTTCCAAGGTGGGACTTGTGTACCGATCCTCCGATCCTCCGCGGCTGGTGCCTCCTGAAGGAGTCACTGAAGTCAGTCCCCCTCAACACGGGCCTTGGCTTACATCTCAATTTGGCCAGTTTAAACCCCAGGGAAAACCACAGAGGCCAGAAAGGACTCACTCGGCACGATTTCGAGCTCCATAGTACGCCAGAGAGGGCGATCAAGTGTAGATAAAACCAATGTCCAGTGAATGTTTGGAAGAGTCTGTTAGTTGAGGTTAACCATAAACAGAGTTACACATGGGGGGAAAGCAATCTACAAACATACCTAATGGGAATCCTTTTTCTTTTGTCCTTTCATGACTGCGTGATTTCCGTAATTGTCAAAAGAAACTCCTCACCGTGGTGGTAAAGCCATTTCAATGAAACCTTATATTGATTTTCAGGTATATTCATTCCAAAGAAAAACCCTTCAAATGTCAGGAGTGCGGGAAAGGATTTTGTCAGTCTAGAACTCTAGCAGTTCACAAAACTTTACACATGCAGGTAAGTTTGTTTTCTTGTTTAAAAACAGTTTTATCATGTTTGCTCTACAAAAGATGTTCACTTGCAGAGTCTTTCTTAAAAAACTATTAGATTAGTTTTCTAGGTGGGTAAAGCAGCACTCAGTTCCTTTATACATAAAATTAATCCTATTTAACATAAAACATTTTTCTATTTTCTTAAAGAACAGGCCACTCTCTTTATTCTAAATCCTAATTTTAGAATTATTATTTTTTCATCCAATCTGCCCTGCATTTAAGGCTTTCGTGTTTGGGAGGAAATAAAGGTAATTTTGATAATGGAGGCATGGTGAAATCCCATATGCTCTCTCTCCCAGGGGCCTCATAATTTGTAGTTTTCAGAACATTGAGGAATAGTTTAATTTTCCAGCAAAGAGAAGACTTATTACCCCAGAGAATGTCGTTCCTTAAGAGAGGATTAGCGTTTTTCCTTCCCCCTTTTCCTGCCTATGACATGGTGGTGAAATGTAAAGAGCTGGAAATCACAAAACCCACCATGGTGGTCACCACAGTTATCAGTGTAATCAGGCCTCGGTGTGTGCCGGAGCGTGTGTTTTAGTGATTGGAGGATTAGGAGCACAGATCTGTTCTTACAAGTCCCCTCTTTTGTTGTCATGTGCGTGTTATGTGATACCAATAAGACAACTATTGAGAAGGGTGCGGTGGTGGTGTGAAGGATTAATCCTTTGCTTGCTTCACATCTGAACAGGAATCTCCACACAAATGTCCCACATGTGGAAGAACCTTTAATCAGAGAAGTAATCTGAAAACTCACCTTCTCACCCATACAGACATCAAGCCCTACAGCTGCGAGCAGTGCGGCAAAGTGTTCAGGCGAAACTGTGATCTGCGGCGGCACAGCCTGACTCACACCCCGCGGCAGGACTTCTAGAGAAGCCCAGGATCTGTCCCCGTGCCGCCCTGCTCCCCTCCCCAGACACCTCTACACGCCTCCCACCCCAGGGTTCCACCCCAACTCTTTACAGACCCCAGCTCTGCCCTTGCTGCAGCTGCACCTGCAGCTCCAGGGAGTAAACTCTGCTTCCGGAGAACTGAGAACTGTAGAAAGCCACACACGTACATCCCTTCACAAAGAGCATATGCTAGTTTCTTGTAGATATTCACAGCTCATTTTAGAGCTCTGTACATAATGTCGTGGGTCTCTGTTTTGTTTTGTTTGTTTTTGTATCTTGTTGGATGCACCTAGATATGGAAAATGGAAGTCAAATTTATCTTTAAAGACTGTATTTTCAAAATAAAACTTTTCCTTGTTTGTTTCAACGCTCCTGCAAAGAGTCTTGCTATTTAACTTCTGTTTCTCCTTTGTATTCTGGGAGAGTGGGCTACCTCCAAAATAGTCAATGTTGAAGGGTATATTTTATCCCTAGTTTTAAAAATAAGATTCACAAGTCTCTTACTGGAACTTCAGCTCTTCCCTTTTTGTACTGTGGCACTTTAGAGTTGGACAACTGTGCTTTTTGTTTTTTGAAGATATTAAAATGGACATCCCTCAGGTTTTATTCTATTTCGTTTATTCTAATTCCTTGTGTATTATTCCTTCAGATAAAAGCAACATAATAATTACTATTAATAACTTGCAACTCCAACGACTAACATACTTGTAAGCACAATGTGGGAAGAAGCACTAAAAAGAAGAGACGGGGAGCTTCTCACCATTTCATTTTTTAAAAGTCCTTGACTTGCCAAAGTTTATGATGGGCTACTTCTCTTGCCATTAGACTTTGTACACTGTGACTTAGCATATACACAGACTTTACCCTGCCTTCAGGGAAGAAGTCTAAGTTCTCCTACAGGACAATGTAGAAGAGTACAGCCTTCAGAAGGTACAGGACAAGAGGAGAAAAGAGAGGCTACTTAGCTGTGTTTGCACAAAATATTTCTTTACAAGGGTGGAGATCCTTTCTTCCAGAAGGGTCAGATTTCTCTGCAAAGCAAACTGAGTTAGGCCACTAGCAAGGTTTCCACCACTGGTTGGCCTTTTGTCCCTGAGAAAGTGCCAGAAGTACAGATCACTCTATGTATAGAACTCGTGGCAAATCTGTAATCACCTTCTGAGGCATTTCCCAAATGGTTTCTGGGGAATATGACAACGTTGTGTAGGATTTGAGTGGAGTACTTTGGAGGCAGGTGAACAGCAGTACCATGCAGAGACTGGAAGAGAAATAACTGAACTTAAAGTGGGACTATCAAAGGAACCTATAACCCAGTGGCCCAGTAGGTTCTCACAAACTTTGATACTGAACAGCAGGGTGAATGAGGTATTCTCAGAGTTTTTTTTTATTTGTATCTTTGTGTGGAGATGGCATGTTTTATGCTCAGAGAGATACTAGGCAACACATACTATAGAATTCTCAAGCAGGGTAGGTAGGTATTTGAGGTCTAAATTCAAAATTTCTCACCAGTGCCTTGTTCAATATGGCTTACAAGGAGTTTTCAAAATTGTTTTTGTCTCACTGCTTACTTTGTTCTCAGGGGAAGTGGCTGGAAGTCGCTTCTGCTTCTCACAAGAGATCAATTCTCTTCAACAAAGTGTCCACTCACCAGTCTGTGTGTTTAATACACAAACGTATTTCACTGAGGAGAGAGGGCAAGGATGGAGTGTGAGGTGCATATGTGTGTGGTATTTAGAGGAATGAAACTGTTGTTTGTTTTCTTTTGTTTATACAGAATTAACTCCGTGACCTCCCTATCCCTACTCTCTCAAGATCCTGCCCACCTTGGCACAGGAGATTTGAATACTTTAGAGCAGGGTTACACATTGACTGTCCCTAGAGCTCTCCTAATCCTGCAGGCTTTTTCCATGTAGTCAGTCTCACTGCCCCACCCACCCCAACTGACTACAAGCTTCAACAGTTCCATTGCACAGACTTCAGTCAAATTATCAAAGAATGACCCTTGCTCGCTATCAAGCTCAGGCATATGCTTCAAGTCACAGGGATATAGGGATAGGTATAACCAGTATACTGTTCCTCTTCACTTATTTTAGTTGAAAAAATGGGAATCAGAAGTGAATGAGGAAAGACAGAGAGGTGGAGAAAGTGGTTCCCCTTCCCACATATACATTATTTCAAAATGTAAGCTTAATTTTTTTATAATTTATTTATGTAGTCATTAATTTAACAAATGCTAATTATATGCTTTTCCTTTGCCAACCCCTGTGCTTGGTTCCAATGACTTTCATGATCAGTTCTGCCTTTCTATATCTAGTGGCACATTTTTGCCACTGCTACTTAAATAAGTTAAACATCTGTAACAGGGCTTAATTTTATAGCTACCCTCAATCTGTACTCTTAAATCCAATGTCCTTCTAGACTCAGAAAGGATCTAGCCTTAGAGGAAACTCTTTTGATACTTCTCAAGGTCTCAGGGTGAACTTTCAAACAGTGGGTTCCTCTCCAAATTCTGAGTTTTGTTTTCTTCTTCTTAAAAATGTTCAAATATGCAGGAAGTGAATCTTACATGAGACAAACATATGAGACATCATAGAGAAAACAATACCTTGTATCTTATGAAAGAAATCTGCTGGGGTTTGTTTTGTTTTGTTTTTGGCTTAGAGAAGAGTCAGAGTTGAGATTAAGATTAGCCTGTATTTTCCTTAAAACCTCTACCATAGTCAAGTCATGAATCAATACTTCTGGCCACAGACCAGGAGTGGGAAATATCACGAGTCACAACCACAGTGCTGAAGAACTTTTTGAGCATAGTTAATTATTGAACAGTGACTCTAATCTTATTTTGTATTCTATGTGCAGGGTTTTAAAAATAATTTCTAAATATGAATTACATTATAATTAATTGTTCATATAAAATTATGAATGTGTGTTAATTACTGATGCTAATATTTACATGGAGGCCATTGTAGTACTAGTGCTTTATAATTGCAGTAATTAAAATTGTTATTTTGCCTGGGCACATCCTCTTTTATATGAGGAGGCCATTCCAAAAGTTGACTCTAGGACAACTAAATATTTAAAAAGTAAACAAATCTAAAATCTCAAATTATAAATAGCCCCAAATACAACTAGTGATGAAATCAGAGTCAGTTAATAGGGATTTCTTCTACTGTTGGTCAGATGTTAACGTAGACATTGGACTTCTTCGCTTAAATCATGTTCAGTCAGGTACTCTTGCCCAGTTTTGATTCCTGAGGGGCAGCCTATGCCTGGAAGACACTTAAGAAACATTAGTTCTTTAATATTGTCAACATGATAGACTAGATGCATTTGGGTTAAACAGTGTAGATCTACAGCAGATTTTAATATGGGAAGAGTATTGCCATGGCATAATGGGTTGCCTTTCTTACTACCAAAGTAATTTTAATATTATTATAATAAAGAAAGAGAGAGTTTTGAAACCTTGTAACACATTGCAAATAGGAACGGTTTTGTATTTTGGAGGAGTATTTGTGTTCATCTTTATTTGTGTGTTATATTGAGACTGTATTTCCCAATTTTTCCTTCTGAAATGTAACTCACCACTGATACTACCTCCCCTGACAGCAATGAGAAAGGGAGTGGATATTCAGAATGATTCCACTTTGATGACCTGAGATATTTCATGTTTATTTCTATTTCTTTTCTTTATTGGTCATTTATTCCCCACCCTGCCACTACCCAATGTAAATTACATTACTAAGCTATGTAACACTTTTCTTGAAACTACTCAAGGCAAAAGCTGATGGTGAAAAACTGTAAGTGACACAAATATACAAGAGAAAATTTTAAAGGTAAATTATAATGCTATATCTCTTAAGATGTTTTCTATTGCAAGAAACAGAAAACCTGCCTAAAAGGTGCTTAAACAATAGGAGATTTATTTTATCCCCTAAAAAGAAGTCTCAAGGTAGGGTCCATGGATGTGTAATTAACTGGAATGATAAGATCATCCAAAGCCCAATCATTCTTACTTTTCTTTATCTTTACTATGCGTACTTGCTCCCTTCATGGATACAAGATGACTGCAAAAGCTCCAACCATCAGCTCTAGTATGTTCTTGACACACACAATCCATAGGCAGGAAAAGGGGTTGTCTCTTTCTTGTATCACTTTTTTAAAACTGAGAATCTCCTCCATAAACCCAGCCTGTATACTTGCCTTCATATATTATTTTCAAAATTAATTAACTTGGTCCTTCCTGGGCCAATCACTGACAAGGGGAATAGAATTATATCATGATCGACTTAGACTAAATAAAATTTACCTTCTATACATGGAAGTGAAGCCAGCCTTCCCAGGAGCCCTTGGCTGCCAAAAAACACCTCAATTCTGTAAGCAAGGAAGAAAGGAGAACTGATTATTGTGAATATTAAGCCAATGTTAAAAATGAAGTTTCCATTTAATAACCCTATATTAGGAGACATGTATGTTATAAAAGGAGGATATTTGATGACATATACAGCATTATCCAAACTAGATAAACAAAATGAAGCCTTCAAAAAACTAAACAGAAACAAAGACTAGCAGAAAATATACCAAAATATTAACAGCAGCTATTCATGAGTAACAAATTAAGGGTACATTTTTCTTTTCCTTTTCTTATTTTTCAACTTTTTCACAATGAGCATGTGTTACTTTTATAAAGGAAACAAGAAACATTATGTTGATCCAGGATAAAGCCTAATTTCCTCAATATTTTTCTTATCTTTCTTTATTGCCTCTGACCAGTCTTATCTCTTTTCATGCACACCATGCATACTTCTAAACCAGGGTGTCCAATCTACGGCCTGCAGGCTGCATGCGGCCCAGAGTGGCTATGACTGCAGCCTGACACAAAATTGTAAATTTACTTAAAACATTATGAGATTTTTTTGTGATTACATGTCACAATGTGGCCTAAGACAACTCTTCTTCTTCCAGTGAGCCCCAGAGACACCAAAAGTTTGGACAGCCCCATACCATCCCTTTAATTTAGTTACTCCTTCACTTTCTAACTTCCTTTTCTTTCTTTCTTGATTTCTAGTAAACACACCTTTTCCTATCTTTTCTCTTCTCTAGGTTTCTGTGTCCTGATTATTTTCCTCCCTTTTAAGAGCTTCAGTAAGTCTAGCGCAGTGTGCCTCCAGGTGTGGTCATTAAAATTATCCAGGGTACTTATTTCTGGGTCCTCCCTAAACCAATGGGTGAATTGGAATTTCTGGTGATACTCAGGACTCTGTGTTTTAAACAAACACTTCAGGTAGTTCTTATGT